CTCCTGGCCTTTTTGGTCCAAAACAAAAAAGGTGGCAGGGTTGTGCAGTAGAAGGCAAGAAGTAGGGCTGTGGGGACTGTGTCTGCTTATCTTCTTTCCTAAAGCAATGCAAGGGATAAGTCCTATATTTTCTCCACTGGCCCTTGTGTGCTAATCCTCCCCTTGGTGGGGATCCCCACATGGCAGCTGACAATACCAGGAGAAAGGCCACTCTTTTATAGCTTAATCTGTGATGAAGGACATGCAAGTGATACTGTTTATGTCCTGGAAGGTAAGCATGAGCTTGGGTGTTTTGTAAGACCAGCAACCTACCCAGAAGGGAGCCAGACTGACTGCTTTTGAGACATTTCTTCTCTCAGATCTTGTTTTGGAGCTGAAAACATCTTTGGGATGAACACTGAGACTTACTCACATCAGTCGCTCCCGCTTTTTCTGGATGGGATCAGTCACAGAACCAGGCCATTGTGGGCTGCTGGTAAAAGAGGCTGCAGGGATTTGCTAAAGCGCATGTCCTCATGATTTTTAGAAGCTGATGTGTGTGAACACACCTAACTGGCCAGTCAGCTCTGACTCAGGAGCTCAGAAGCCACATTAGTTTGGCATTGGCCCTGTTTCTTTGCAAAATTTACTTGTTTGTGTGCACTCTCTCATTTGCATGGGTAGACATCCACACCAGATCTGGCTTAGGAAATGGGGAGGAGTCTGTGAAACATCCCACAGACCTACATGGAGTGCCTGATATCAGAGAAGGTATGAACATCACTGCCAAGGGACAGTAGGTCTGTCATTCTTGGGTGATGGCAGAGCAGCTGGTAAGGGGTGATGTTTGCAGGTACCAATTGCTAGGGGTTTCACAGGCCTACCCTGCCTGGGAGAGAGATCAGGAAACTTGACAGATTGTTTCTTAACTTTCACAGCTTTGTGTTCAGTCTCGCTGCAAAAAGAACATCCCCATGAACACCAACACAGCATTATCAGTGGTCCTAGAGGCCCACTTTCAAGTGGCTATTGATTGGTCTTTTAATTACAGTGACATAAGCCATTACTCCCTTTCAGAGTAACGGCTAAGGTATCCCACACAAAATTTCAGCCTTCAGACACAGAAAAAATTAGCTCCTGTGTCAATAGATACATATCTTCCAGGAAGGATGGTGTAAATCCAGTGAAGACAATGGCTGAACCAAAGTTAAAGTGGGTCTTGAGAGGCATTAAGTGCATGACCCTTAAAAAAAGACAGCTTATCCACAGATCTATAAGCCACAAAGAACAGATAAGCAGAGAGACAGAGAGAGGCAGAGATAGGCAGCAAAAAGAAAGCAGATTGATTTGAGGAATTTGATGGAAAACTATACCAGAAAAAACATGAATGACACTGAATCACAAAGAACTGGCCAAAAGACCACTATAACACAAAACTGTAAGTGCTGTTGGGTGTATTTATGTAGAAAGTTGTAAGCAGTAGGCACAGATGTGGATAAATTTATATTCTAATTTGTTCTTGTTGGGGGATGAAGTTGTTAATATATTGAATTTCCATAGCAGGTTTATATTGGTGTCTGTACGTATGAAAGGATAGCTAATGAAATAATCACAGTGAATAATGCATTAATTTAATTTAGCTGTTGCTGCTCCCTAAATATCCACAAACAGCTCATGGACTCATCTGGTGTGTTCATTGGAGCCTGGACTTTGCTACCTTTTATTGAACGGTGCTTTACAGCATGCACAGCCCAAGGAGCAGGAGCACTGCTTCCAACGTGAAACATTCCCAGATGACGGGCAATCCCTGTCTGTTCCTATTTTAATGTCGTTATTATCTTTCCAATTATTTTCTTCTCTATGCATTGACAATCCAGCTCTGTTACACCCCGCCAGGACAGTCGCGCAGAGAATATTTCACACCAGGTATTGGGGCAAACTTTCTCAAGTCCTCTCTACAATCAACAGAGAGATAAAAGAAGTAGAGGTCCTCTCAGGGGCAAGTTGGAACAACTAAACAAGGCTCCCATCTCTCTCCGATAGTTACAGAGGAAGCCTAGGGAGATTAAACTCAGCAGGCTAAAATTAGCCATTGTGAATATACCCTATAGTCTCATTCTTCTCCCCTGGCTGCGTGAGCACACAAATGCTTCTGGAATAAACACTGGCTGAATAAATTTAAAATTCATCTTAAAGGCTCCTGCATCTGACATGAAAACATTCATTTTTAGTAGCACTCCCATCACCAGAGCTCAAACGCTGCGGGTGCAGCTGACCGCAAACGGAGACTGTTCTGCCAGGAGACACTTGCACGGTTTTCTCCCGCGCCTGGACAGGAGTTGGGGCAGTCGTGTGCATTTCTCCAGCTCTCCAGGTAATCACACCCAACTCTCTACAGCCTGGTTTTATGATGTAGCTATAAAGTCATTGCCATTAGAAAGTCAACGTTTTCTGACAGACATGACAACAGTAATCATAGCAATTTCCTCTGCTAAGTATAGGGCAAAACCTATCGTGTCTCAGGTATAATTTCACAGGAACTGTTAGCAGTGATTTATTTATGCCAACTGATCTGTGGTACATGTGCGGGGCTCCACTTAATGTTCAACAGGACTTTTTTTCCCCCTCTTTTGTTCTTTTCCCTTTTTTCTTTTGCAACACTGAACCATACTTCTTGCCTCTGCTAAAGGAAACACAACGTTTCTTTATAACATCTTGTCAGATCCAAACATCTCCAAGGCCATTACTCATTCCGATTATCTTCAGATCTACCTTCCAACACGGTTCCCAAGCCCAGGCCAGAAGCGGCTAGCTAAAGGGAAGGGGCACCAGAGCTCTCAAAAGTGCTTCCTCACTCTCAGCGGGTGCACTTCGAAAGGAGAACAAAATCATTGAGCACAGAGAAGGCTTAAAAGTGCTGCACACACACACACAGACACGAAAGAGGGGGGGGGGGGAAGAGAAAAGAAAGAAAAAAACAAAGAACATCAGAAAAATGACACTTTTTTTTTTTTTTGCTTTGTAGGTTTTGTTTCAAAGTTCAACTGTGAATGTGATCAATAACCAGCTACTATGTATTAAATTAGGTCATTCTCTATGCAGTTTAGATTAGAG